TCCACAGAACATCATAGAACGGGCTATCTTTCAAGGCATCCTAGCCTTGAGAAACAAACCGTTTCTTTTTGTCGATTTCAAGACGCTTTTGTCCATTGTGGACGACGAGCAACAGTCCACCACGTTCTCTTCTGGAACTGGTGCGACTATCTCGTGGATCGTTCCTTCCTTTAATTCGGACAGGAACAGATCCCACGTCATCTCCGAGAGATTTACTATCTCTTCGGCAGATGCTAAGACAAGTTGGAGCACCTCAACAGAGGATGCCTCAGGCATCTTGTCTTCGACGAACAACTCATTCGTAGGTCCGTCCTCTTGGACCGAGACTGATCCAAAAGTCACTCGTTTCGGCGTGCCATTGATTGTCTTAAAACGTCTGGTGCTCGTTCTTCGAGTCACCACGACCTTTGGCCTGGAAGAAGGTGTCGTTACTATACAAGCCAACGCACTCCTTCCGACTGCACCAGGCTCATGGTTTTTTGTCGGTTCTTGTGGCGCTTGACTTCCTGTCAGCCCGCCATCAACTGCCACAGGCCCTCGGCTCTGTGCAGGACCATCGGACGCAGGATTTCTCGTCATCGTCCCATTCACTACACCAGTCTTTTCGAGCTGGGCAAGAATTTTTGTCACCTGACTTTCTCTTGGGACACTTCCAACTACTTCAGGCTCAACGAGCTGGGTAGTACCTGGTGCCGATTGACATATCTTCATCGCACTCTCGGCTGTGTTGGACACATCATCAGTTACATAAGCCTCTCGCAAAAGCACATCCTTTCCGGTGTCCTGCGTAGAGTTAGCGACTGTGCTTGTACGCCAGTCTATCCAAGGTTGTTATTAAGCTAACCAAGGCATACCTAGGATGAGGTTATACGGGGTCTCCATACCTAGCACTGTGAGCTTCTCTTTACAAGAGGGGAGTCACTAAAGCTAAAGGCGAGTTCAACTTGAGCTCCCTTCGATTTTACGAGCGCGCCGTTCGCTAAACGAACGTTCGCCTCGTCTCGCTTGCCATACATGCAAAGCGACTCATACTCGCCAGACTCTTCTTTCAGAGCCGAGAGTTTTACAAAATTCTGTGATGAACCCGAATCAACGAGAAGGGTCATCACTTGATCATAGCCTCTTACTCGAGCGCATAGACCAATAAGGTTGAGGTCCGACCTTTCGGTACCTCAGGGACTATGCTACCCATTTGTTCGATAATTCTGAGCATAGGGGTAGCTTCAGGGCCCACGACAGTAGGGCATCCCGCCCCTACTGCGCTCCCACATTTCCCGACCCATCAATGGCAGGTGCTGAGCCCGTGCGTCGTGCACGCTGGTTCTTCGCATCCATGAAGTCTTCTTGCTAGACGTCTTAGCACCATCAGCAAGTTTGCATAGCAGCGAGCCATCATATGGCCACGCTCGCCGCACTTGTAGCAGACCACGTCTGCACTGCCTAACTCCATTGGGGTGGCATCAAGCTTCTCCGTCGACAGCGTAGAATAAGCTGTCGCCGAGAAAATGTTGTAGGATTTCTCCTCAATCCATGGCAATTTCAATTGTTCTCTTCCATCGTCTATAGCACCTTTCTTAAAAAGACCTGACGCGATGGAACGTGCCGTAGTCCATTTATGAACGTAGGCACCTTAATGTGTTCCGGTATTGGACCCACAGTAATGGACGCAGACAGCGAACGCATCCCTGCACATACTCTTGCAGAGAGCGTTTTGCCTGTCGAGCTAAAGAAGCGCGCCTGAAGTAACACTTCATTGTTAGGCGGCTGATACATGGCGCGAATCGTTGACTTAAAGATCGTCCATGATGTAGACGCATCTGCGTTTGCCATAAGCGCAGAGTAAGCTCATTTTGACACTTTGCCACGAAAATTTGACATGGTATACGACACCATCATGTTGTCGTCTTCGATGAGCTGCACCATACTGCATTACTCCACGGCTAAAAGCCAGTGAACAATCGTATGTGGGGTAGTTCCATCAAACTTTGCAGAGTCCATCCGAGTGGGCCTTGGCTGATTAGACCGGGCCGGGAGCGTCTCAACAGTTCTATTGAGCACCTCATTCCGAGCTTGCTCACGCAAAAGCTTACCCTGAGTCTTATTGATGGACTCAGCCGTTGCTTGACTGTTTGCTTCGGACGCGTTTCTACGATGTTCGAGGACAAACGCCTCAAATTGCTCCAACTGAGCAACATGTTGCTCAGGAGGACAATGCAAGTGATTGACCAGGGCTTGTTCACAAAGTCTCTGCGCCAAATGCTCTGCCACCTCCTTATGATGTTGGGAGAGGTGACGAAAATCACCCCAATCCATTTTGAGGTCCATCCTCACTCACACACACGCTCAGAGAGACGAGTCGTGTGAAAGGACTACCTGCTAGTGCTACCAAGTGTAGAAGGACACTTCAAAGAAGCTGCCACGTGCTACTAGCACACACCTTCAAGCAGCGTGAGGAAGCGATAAACCGTATTATATCCACGTGCGGTGGTGGAAGTGGGTCGGCGCCAAAGCGTTCGCACACTAAGGTTGCTGTTGCGTAAGCGAACCGCGCAACGAGCTTTAGAACAAGTACATACCTATGTCGTGGAAGCTGTTTTCAGTCTTCCTGTGCACAGTAAGTATAATGTAGTAAATTTAAAACTGATTTACATACAATAGAAATAACTACATATAAATCTAATTACTTATTGGTTGATTATATGCAATGATTGGATGTCTTTAGACGCACATCCCTACGTGCGCGTTTAAATATAGTTAAGCTCGCTGATGACGACCGTTTGTGACGTCATCATGACGCCTAGTCCCAACTGGGCGTCATCCCTTACAATGTCAATCCATCAATGGATATTAAATTCACAAGGGTGGGTCACATTGATGTGCTTCACCCAAATGGGAGGTCTAAAGCATACACGTACCTTTTTAGACCTTCCCGTTGAGTGTGCGATACTTAACAGGCACGTGTAACATTTGACCCGTTACAAGTAGTGCAGCTAGTAGCTCTCTGTAACGGGGTTACACGACGGTTGTAACATCATACCGAAAGTACATTACATATGAAGTTCTATATTGCATATTATGCATTTAAAGTAGGCATATTCACAAAATCTTTATGCATAAATAACATCAGTCCGTTCACTTCCCAATTCGAGCCTTCGAGCAACAACGGCCAAGAGACGAAGACCTTCAAAGAGCCGGTCAGCCGGCCCCCTCCGACCAGGGCGGGAAGTCCCTCCAACGGGAGGCCCAGGATAAGAGGGGGAGGTTTTCCCTCTGCTGCGTGCGCTATGGGGGGCAAGCGCAGCGTGCGAACCGTAAGGGGAGCACCAACCCTGTTACCCCCGGGGGGAGAGGATCGATGACCGCGGTTATCATTCCCTCTTTCCCCAATAGTTCCTGCTATTCTACGTCAGCCTTCAAGCCGCCGATTCGATCGCCGAGCGCGAATCTCGGTCCCACGAAGTGAACTTGCCAAGAACGTGAATTGATCGGCCCCGTCCAGGTGCATCAGCGGTCGATCGGGACTGATCGGTGTGGTGCCCGGCGCTTGTTGCGATCATTGAGCCACTGTTTACACCTCGGGCTGGATACCCGATTCCACGTGCCCTTTTCGGAGTGTCCCCCGTGACGCCCGACGTCTCGAGCCAGCAGATTGAGCCAGCGAGGCGAAGAATGACGAAGTCCTGGTAGAAGCACTCCAGACATCTTACCAATCCTTAATGTTTGAAATAGACGGTCTGTTCTTCTCAAATAACATCAGTCCTCACTTTGAGGTAAAGATCTTAACGCGGCATATCTGTCAGTATCGATGGAACAATTCATGAGAGAGAAAGGTAGCATAGCGTATTTGTGAAGGCTGCGCGATGAATGACAATCTCAGTTTGTGAATTTGTCGTTGCGGCACTACTCTTCTGTCGTCACCAAAGCGTTCACCGTCAGTGCCAGACTGTCAAGGCAAAATGATTTATCCAATGAGGGGTACGCATTGCCAGCTTTTCTATACCGAATGGGGATGTGTACAAAGGAATATTCACAGATGTAACATCGAGACGGTTGTGGTGTTGAGCGCGCCAGGGTAGCACGTACGAAGGTCAATGGGTTCAAGACGTCTGCCAGGTGGCCGCGGCATACTGACCTCCAGCTCAAAGATTTTATTAATGATAGCGCTTGGGAGAATGACGAGCGCTATGGCTCCAGTCACTGTGTGATAGTAGAATAAGAATATACCGGGGAATGCCGGGTGATGCATTTGACGGACACTAATGTCGAGAGAAGAATAGGTCAAGCGTGGGAAGAAGCTCGGCGTCGCATTGTTTTATTGTAGTGCAATACTCTGCGAATAGCATGATGCTTTTGCGAGGGCCTTTAAAACTGCAGTCTTTGCTGACGTCGTGAGATATACGTCTGGTCATGGAAAGTAATTTTAACAGGATACCTTCACATTAACAGAGGAAGATTATTATTTGAGCAAGGACACCGTGGTCGCTGGAACGGATCAGATTTGGTCACGATCACAGTTTTAGACTCCAACCTAATGGGCTATTTCTTTATCAAAATGGGCACACGTGCATACAATAGAGTACCGTATTAAATTTCAAAGGAAAGGTGGCTTCTTTTTTTCACTTAACATATGCTTTCCCATCGCAAGACCTTAATGCGACAGATCTTCGGACAGTAATGGTCTGTACGTCTTGTATTTATTTAACTTACAATCCAGCATTATAAAATACCACCTCATCCTTTCAATTCAGTTCCCAAAGAGCAAAAGCAGTAACAAGACGTACTCAAGAATGCTCACCCCTAGCGTCGACACTGATGTTCCAGCATCCAATACACTTTCTACATGCTCTCAAGACGTATGTCCATCAAAGACGGCTACTCTTGTCCCTCACAAATCGATCGAAACTGTGGAATTGACGGCTCAAGTGAATTCCAAGTCGAAGACTGATGTACTAGGTACAAAAACTAATCAAGACACATTCAAGCAACATTTATATTCTGAGATGCACAAGAGACGACCGGATCATTTTGTGATTAAAGTCACATGTCGTTCCCTTGGTGGTGTACCGTCTGATCTACGTTCAAAAGTATGGCAAGAGCTCTTGGGTGTTGCTCGAAGTGAACGATTGTATTTGGATCAAAGTATATTACAAGTTGAAGAAGATCTAGTGAATCAACGGGTTATTACAGCTGATGCTGGTCGGACTCGAGGTAATGAGCCTCGGTTTCAACAACCCGAGACAGTTGAATTGGTTGTTAAACTTCTTACGTACTATTGCAAGTGTCGCAGTATTCAATACAAACAAGGCATGAATGAAGTGCTCGCACCTTTTCTATTGCTCACGGAGCAACGTGAAGGATGTCAAGATCATGTTCCATTGGCCGAGGGTGTTGTCTTTCAGTGCTTTTATGCTCTTATTGACAGATTCTTGCCCCATGTATTCATGGATAAAGAATTTCGATCGTTGCAATGTTCATTCCAGCTCTATCGATTACTCATGTTGTATCATGATCCCGAATTGTGTCATTATCTCGATCAACATGATATGACCCCGGAACTTTACGTTACGCCATGGTTTATGACGCTGTTTGCACGCTCTTTACCGCCCGAGTTTGTGTTTTACTTATGGGATATGTTTTTGCTGGACGAAGGACCGTATTTGCTACACTTTGTGGCGTACGCACTCGTGGCTGCAAACCGAAAGCAGATTTTTGAAGCAGAAATTGCCATGCTACCACAAGTGCTAAGCTCACTGACTTTTTCTTCGCGACAGGAATTGGAGCACGTTTGTGCCACTGCACTCGCGATCTCAGAATCCACTCCGCGATCGTTTAAGCGCGACTTGTACTCGGTCTGCTATGGCGGCTTCGCGGACACCATGGTGCCGTTTTTGGATCAACTGTACGCGTGTTCCAGTCTACAAGTTTATCCTGAAGAACTCGTTCGCAATTTGCAGGATCGATTAGCAACGAAAAGCAAAGAGCGGATGTCAATGCTGCCTTCAGCTGCTTTGACTGAAAAAGAAAAACCATCAGATGTTAAAGACGCGCTTAATCCGTTAAAGTCACCGGATAGCGACCGACCACCGCTGTTGTATCATTCAGGAAATGAGGATGAAAATGAATCAACAGCGTTGAAGTTCATTGTGCTGGATTGCCGACCAGCAGAGGAGTACCACAAGTCGCATCTGAGTCTTTCTCATCACATTTACCCAAGCATCACGAAACGACCAGATGCCCTTGATGGATTGATAAAAGACTTATCTCAGATGAAAGGCTGCCACTTTTGCTTTGTTGGCCCCTCTATCGACTCGCCGTCTATCTTATCAAGGTCCTCATCTAACAACGCAGCTATGAGCACGACTGTGGCCATTTCAAATGATAAGTCGCAGCACCTATCGATACAGGATCCTAGTCAGAGGCCAATTGAAGTTGCAGTAGCAGGAAAAGTCGCCGGAGGGACACCACCGTTCTCTTCACCAACCGGAACCGTAGCATTTTCTCACAAGCAGAGTCCTGGAGAACCTGGTGCGCTAGCGAGCAAAATCAACAGAAATGGAGATTCTGAGCTACATGTACATGCAGAGGACGTGTCTGTGACACGACTCGTGCTAATGTTTTTGGAAAAAGGATTCAAGTACGTAAGTCGGCTCGACGGGGGGTTCGACGAGTTAGAGAAGTACATCCGAAGCATGGATGCGTTCGCGCAGGAGCAACTTCTAGTGTCGTCGCCACCACCACTACCAACGTACGAGCAATCAATGGCCGATTCAGCTGAAACAGAGAAATTGAATTTGCTTGCAACAATGGGTCTTAATGGGTCACGAGAATGTGAAGACGATGTTGTGCTTGAAACCAATACGAGCACACGTGCTGAGACATGTGACGCGAACAGCGGTCGCTATGGTGCTAGTAAAAGCATGGATACTTTAGACCTATCAGTTCCGCGCAGTAGTTTTGCAAAGGAATTGAAGGGAATGAAGAAGAAGGAGGCAAAGGTCAACACCACGACGAATTCTACTGTATCGACATTCTCACAACGTCTTTTACTGTTGAAAGCAGCAGCTAAAGACGCAGTTTCATCATCCTCGAGCTCGACTGATGGAAATAACATTCGTGTGGCTACTAAGTCAAATAGTTCAGTCGTAGGTGCCGGAGGGGATGGATGGGTGGAAGTGCGTGTTAAGAAAGGTGAAGTTGCTGGGACAACCACGGATGTTAAAATACAGCCTGGTCCTATCGGAATCTCATTCCGGAAGTCCCGTACATCAAAGAAATATCAAGCTGCCGTCGATAGTCTAGTTCCTGACAGTCAAGCATCAGCTACGATGCTCATCAATGCCGGAGATTTGCTAGTCGCGATCAACGGAGACAGTCTGAAAAACAAGGCATTTTTGAGTGTCATCAAGCTTATAATTGAAGCGCCTCGGCCGGTGGTATTGCGTTTTCTTACCCCGACTTGTACGGATAAGGAAGCAGTCACAATTCAACCGCTGGCCCCAAGACTGGTTAGCGCGACGAGGCACTCTCTCTGTATCGCCTGGGAAAAATTGCCTGTCTCGATGGCATCCTCCGCGGTAGTATTACATGAACTCGAGTTTGCGAAGCAATGTGATGGTGATGGAATCAATACTTGGCTTCCAGTTGTAATGAAGCAGGAAGGAACAGCCGAGGTGTATACGACTGGTGTTACCGATAAGACAAACGGCACGATGGTTGGTCTTGAGCCTGGTGAATCGATGGTGTTCCGCGTGCGTTGTAAAGGCGGGCAGCGTTGGGGGCCTTACAGTTTATCGAGCAAATCTATGAGGACGCTGGATGTGCTGACGGCAGATGCGTCAAAACCAGCGCCCGGCGCCGTTACACCGACACTAGGAAGCCAAAAAGAGTTGACTGCTGCGGTTTTTCTACCTGGTGTTTGCCCCAAATACGTCGAGCGAGGTCGATTTTTCTATCGCGTGCTCCAAGCGTCACAAGCACGCAGCCGCCCGGATCTTAATGCCAATAAACTGGACATTATATTGGAAAGAGGCCAAGTGATTAGAGGCTCTGAAAGACTTGTGTGCCCTGGCACGAATCAAATTTTTGTTCGCCTTATCTACGGCAACAGTGGTGACACTGGGGATCAAGATAAGGAAATTGAAGGCGTTCAAGGAGAATTAATGGTACTCGGTAACGGCCAGAGTAAGGCAGATGGTGATTCTGATGGTGTGTGGGCTTCTGAAAACACGGCCCAAGGCGATGTGATTCTTGAACGGCTTCCTGAGTCTACTATTGCAGAAATCGGGCCTTCGCTGGGAGAGCAAGCCAAGTCCGTGGTCCAGTCATTCCTAAGTTCTCACGGTATTTCCCAACGTAGCAACGGAAGCCGTGGCGATCATGTCAACTCCAACAGTTCGTCATCGATCGGCTCATTGATTTCCAATGCTGCGAGTAGGAGTAGTACTAGCAGCGTTTTCTCGTCTATTCATGCCCCTGCACCGCCACATATTCTACGAACATCCCCCGCATCAAGCTCAGAAATAATTGTTACATGGAACCCTGTGAACGATATACATGTGGCTAAGTACCAGATTCAGTACGCGAGAGGTCGGTTTGCTGCCATTTGGTGGACAGTAAAACCTGACATTGCCCCGGAAACATGTAGCTACTCAGTCACGGGTTTGCATTCAAACACATCCTACCGCTTTCGTATTCGAAGCGGGACGAAAGACAAGAAGTGGAGTCCATTCAGCGACTCAAGTGAAAGTTGCCGTACACTTCCTACTTCTTCGGACAGCGTTTTCAGTGGGGCAGCGATTCATCGGCAATCTGCAAGCAGTGGTAGAAACAAACGTTCAGCGACGACATCATCAATTTTGGCGCGACAGAGTGCACCACCAATGCGTACTAGAAGCACTGTTGTAGAGAAAACTGCAACAGTAGCTTCCCGGCCGAGCGTACGCTCACAGACCTCTAGCAGCCTTCAGATTGAGATGCAAACGAACGTGGCGCACAAAGGAGACGACGATGATGACGATGATGATGAAACGCAACTGTTCGTAGATGATCGAAAGAGTGAGCTGAAAATGCCTGAATCGCGATACGTGAACTTGGCAAATTGGAAATCTTCGTCAAGAGTTGCTCACAAGGACTTCCGCTTCTATCACGTTACCAAGCTCGAAGAGCTGAATGATGATTCTTGCCAGACTATAAGTCTGGGCCACCGAGAGCTGGTTGTTACCCCGTCGTTGCTCATCGTTCTAAATGTGATGGTGGCAACGCGGGAGGGCTTTGCGTTTGTAGAAGAATGGCGGCCTTTGACATCACTAACAAAGGTAGCTGAACGGGACGGCTTAGACAACGGGCTTGTTTTTCACTTCAAGGTACGGGCTCTGAATGATCCATGATGCTTTTTTTTACCTTTTGACACTTTTATTTGCGCATGAAGGATCGAGCTGTGACCACGCCTGGTTCCATAGATAATGCACAATCAAGTAACCGACTACTTGTCGTTGTCGAAGGGGCCCAAGCGTGCGCAAAAGTTGTGAAAGACTATTATGCGAAGACTCAGGAATAATTACATCATCGGGGAAGTGATGCAACGTAAAAAAACGCGAGTTGGTCAACTGCCATGCATAGGTGTCATTGCTCGTATTATGTACGGAAATAATACGAACTACTTGAACGATCGATAGACAGCGCATGCCCAATTTTATCGTGGTCGCGTTTCAGAGCCCATGTTTAGTTGCCGTCAGATGCGTTCGAGCCATTTGACACAGACCTCAACGTTTGCAAGGCGAGCAATGTTTGAGCCACTAGGCGTTGAAATTTGAGTTTCGTGGGGACCAAGCTAGCACACAGGCGAAAGAAAGACAGCGCACTCCAGTACTCGTTCATTCGAAAACTTGTTCGCTACAAACAAATCAGCAACAGCAAGTTAGAAGAAAGCAAGGTTTGAACAACGCAATTGGCGCGATCAAATAATACCCCAAGAAGATAGAAGATGGCCACATCGTCCGAACTAATGTTTTTGTGTGCTTTCTCTCGCCAGGGCATCAGAATTTCCAGTACGCGTTCGTTTGCTTCCAGTTCTGTGCCAGCAACAATCACATGAGTACTACCAGGCGGCCCCATGATTTAGCACAGCCTTACCGTAGAACCAGCGCGCCAATTGAAGACGAATCTTTCGCATGGTGATATCCATCTCGGTCTGCTGCTCCATGTTGTAAAACGTCTGCCAAGATTTGATTCCTGCTTCGGCCAGGATGTTTTGATAGTGCTTTGACTTGGTGGTGGTTGTTTGTCGCCTCAACCGACCCAGCAATTCCCAACGCAGCACTTCAAACAAGTCGAAGTCCCAACCAGTTTGTGCCAAGATAGCAAGAAGTGTATCCGCTGAAAAGCAGCGCGCACCGTCGTCCAAGCTCATCATACCCCACAGCATGTCGCAGTCTCCAGGTGTACAGCTCGCAAACTGATGCTTGAAGCTGGTGTGTTGCGCTTTCGTGATAAAAGAGGTCGAAGTAGCTCTACCACGAGCCACAGCAGATTCCTGCATTTGCGGTTCAACAGCTGCGAAAAACACATCAAAGGTATCATTTATTGGAGAGGAAATCAGCTCCGTGCTTGTAGAAATTTCTGCAGTACTGCGATTGAGTTGATCAAAGAACATTTCGAAAATCTCGAAGTCCACAGGAAGGCAGAAGCAGTCTGGGTGAGGGGATAATTGCGGTAGCTCTAGAGTTACTTTGTCCGTGAATCCTTCTTCGGTTCGGCTCTTGACACTAGTGGTGGTGATAAACGCGCTAGAGATAGCATTTCGGAAGGAAAATCGAGCATCACCTGCCAGAATAGCAATAGGGAATGCTTTTGTCACGCTATCTCTATCCAAGAGTGCCAAGAAGAACTCAAACGCCTCAACAGGAAAAATAATTAATCCGGTCGATGACACGGATGCTGGAACTGAAATATTACACCGAGATTGGAATTGGTCTAGTACTCGCACAAGTGTCGCGTTCAGTCGGTCATCCTCGTAAACGGCTTGAGTTTTTAAGTCTGCAATCGAACAAAGGCTTATGTCGATTTCGGCAATATTTGATGTGGTTTGATCAAGCATGGCAACCTGCATTACTACGCGCCCATTGGGTCCATCGTCGCGGGCATGTACTTCATTTGCATTCGTCGCTGGTAAATGGTCCTGATGGGTGGCGGCCACTGTAAAAATGTCAGCACGCAGTGAGTCCAAAAAGTAGTTACCCATCAGTACAACAGGGCCATCATTCCCGACATGCCATCGCCGTCTAGAATGCAGCAGCTCAAGTGTTTTTTGCGTTCCGGAAATGGTAGCATTCCCGTGAACGAACTCGTGTGTGTCGAAAAGGGCAAAGTCCAATTGCCCGCGTTCGATGAACGGACGAAAGCACGGCATTTGAAGACGTGAGTTTAGTACATGGTCACTCAGATCTGTCGCGACGACCAGTGGCATCAGCCCTCGGATTTTGACTTCATCATTTGCCTTTATGAGCTCTGTGAAGTGCAGCATGAATGAATGCAAAAATTTGCACGATCCGCTGGCTGCTTCCCACACGAAGCAGTTTGGGGAATAGTTCTCATCCATGGGAGGTTCAACAGTGTCAGCATTGCTCAGTAAGAAGTCAATAGTGATGCGTGCGTAAGACGCTGCGAGGAACGAGCTGCTAGACACACCAAATGGAATTGTGCCAGAAGTCCAGGCACGAATGCCTTGATTCTTGTAAAACTGCTTCTGTGTATCCCAAAGACAACACTTGGACAGTCGAGCGAGTTTAAGTGAATTTGCTTGGGACCGAGATGATGTATTCAAGGCTAGTAGAGACGATGACAATTCCTCTTTCCAGTTTGTTGTCTCCTCCATCGCTTCTGTCAGCGGATACAAACTATTCCAGAGTTTCACTTCACGCCTCTGCATCGCTGCTAGTTCCCGCCGTACTCGCGCTTGTGGAATGAGTTGCGTTTGTCTTTGAAGTTTAGTAGCACATGCCCGAAGAAGCTGTGGGTGGAAATGGCTCCATCTTAATACAAGCAATAGGAGCTGGAATGGTAACTGATTGATGCTCGAAAACATGATTGCACGAGCTGCTCCGAAAGTCTTCTCCTCATTGATTGCATACCCAGTTGAATTTGCAACCCACCGGACGATCTCCATCACAAAGTGCCATCCGCATTGATCGCGCAGGTAGTCCAAAGGCTGCGTGATGAACTTGAAACTCCTTCGCCAATCACACGTTTTCCGTCTTGACGTCTCTGTTGCACCAAGATGATTCAAATGATACATCGAAGAGCTGTTCATTGCTCTCGTCCTCGCTTCCAGACCGACCAATATAGTCGGGTTGTGCAGCACAAGCAGCACACTCTCCCTCCATGACTTCTCAAGTGTCGACGTGGCGTCTATAATACCACGGACCTGCTTTTCTGCTGCAACTACGTCCTCGCATGGTGCGTAAATCACGAACAACACTCCATCTAAACTTCCTGTCCTTTCACCTAGCAATAAAGTCCATTGCTGTAACTCCTCTAAATTCTTGACGTGCGCGTGGCCACCAGCACTGACTGGAATGGTTTTCGTCAAGGTCTCATCTCGACGCAAAAATCCCTTCACCAGCTCTGACAGTATAGCTCCTTGCTCAGCGATCACCCCATTGCCCATTGAGACCAAGACATATTTTTCTTTGGAAGCCCGTTCCAGCACTTGCACCAAAGCCTTTGCCAGCCAACATTGGATTAGGTCTTCACGCAACTTTGCCACGTCCATCCTATTGATCCTGCGGTATACTCGTCGACAAATGTGTTACCGAATAAACCAGACGGGACTGTCACTCGCCGGAACGGGTGGAGCCCGTGACACCATGCTAAACATGGCTACATTTCCATCATTCTCCCATGATGTCTAGCTTTATTGAAGTCTTCAGATAGACAAGTGGACTGCACCACTTTCGTGTTTATGGAGAAGGTATCGTGTGCAAAACATGCGAAGATGGTGCTCATTAACAAGCCTGATAAACAAGGGGTCGAAATACTCATCAAGTACGGATAGTAAGTAGCAAAAATGAGAGTATGGATTACATGGACCTACCTAGTCATTACATTTGCTCGCACCTTCGTTTTTCATGCGTATGTACCTTGACATGTATTCCGTTGCACGAAACTTCTCGGACCACAAAATACGCCCCATCCAGTTCTGTTCACGTAAGGATTTTTTCTCATTCAATGCGCGCTCAACACATTCCATTAAACTGTCAGCATTTCGTGACCAATCGTATCGTGTCGAGCATGCTGCTACACCAGCATCCTTGGCACAAGTCCAGCGCAATTCATCATCGTACAGTTGCAACATCTCGCGAGCGAAAGCTCGAGGATCATTAGCAATCGAGCCTCCCCAGGGCGTAGTTTCGGAAATCATGCCTTCAGCTCCAATCGAGGTACTAACGCACGGTGTACCAACGAACCAACTGTCCGCGATCTTGCCCTTAATACCAGCACCAAAACGCAATGGTGCGATACTTAGACGATACTGGCTCAGCGTTTCATGTGCATCCCGGGCAAACCCCTTCATGAAAAAACCCTGTTTAGGGTCGTCTAGCTTCGCAAAGCGCTTGGTCTTTCCATATGAACCATATACATGCACCTCAGCGTCCCCTCCTATGCTACGAAACATGGGAAGAATGGTTTTCTTCGTCCACTCCACAGCATCAACGTTAGGAGAATGTTTAAAACTGCCAATAAATGCAATGTCTTTCCGGTCGCCGAAAGCTCGCAGCTTTGAAGTCTGGATTTGAGGATAGAAGAAGTCGCATCGGTGTAGGCTCACGTCAGGAACCTGGAAGCGCGATATTAGCAAGTCGCGTTCAAAGTCCGATACGTAAAGCGTTAGATCAGAACGGTGAATTGATGCTAGCTCGCGAATGGCAAGCTTTTCCACAGGAGAAATATTCAGCCGTGCCCCGTCCAGCGTATCCTCGAGCGTCGTTCCGTACTTTGTCACTGCAAACTCTCGAGCGCGACGAACAAAGTGAAGGTCTTGTAGATCCAATACTCGCAGAGCCTCTGGAGAATATTTCTTAGCTTGCCACCCATACATTTCCTCCGCAATAAATCTGTCAAAAATTACGAGCTGTGGCATCGTCTCTAGCAACAACTTTTGGAAGGCGTCGGTGTTTGCATCTGCCTGTATACAGCTTACTCCATCTTCCTCTTCAAGACGTGCTGTGTGATCGTTCAAACGGCTGGGAGCTACACAAAGTACGTGGAAACCCCGCTCTTGCAGCACACGTATGATATCAGCACTGCGCACGCCAGCAGCGGAACTTGTCCGCTCGGGCCACACCGACCCCGTCACAATTGCCTTCTTCTTGCTAGCAGCGAATGCCGCCACTCTTGCATTTGTCTCTTGTGATTTCTCCTTCTCTAACTCAGCTTTTACAACTGACGTTTGGGGCGGATAAGAGTGAGCCACCTTGCTTTCTAGCGCTTGGTACCATTCCGTACCCATATCGGCAGCAAGTCTCGCATCTACATCAAACGGACCCGGTAATCCATCCGGGAAAAACTGCAGCACCAGTTCTTGAAAATACATCACATGGTCTTTCTCTCTCTTCTGTACCTTTGCAATATGTTTAAACCACTTGATGCCACATCTCACGTGGTCTCGTTCCTCCCACACAATCTGCTCTACCACACGTGCTGAGTCTTTGTCTCCCATCGACTTGATCCGATGCACTAGTCGATTTCCCGAGTCCAACCCTCTCGCTTCTTGCACCAACGGTACGACCGCAATCCTCGCCGCCAAGTCAGCAGCTGTGTTACTTGCATGTACCAGCAGTGCCTTTGTCGCTGGTAGTGCTCCATATTTCGAGCCCAATTGTCTCAGTCGGTCGTCGACCATCGTGAAATGTCTGGCCTCGTCAGTCACCACCTTGAGAAAATCATCATAGAAATCTCGAGCTAATTGATGGGTACTTGGATCAAAACGGACAATAGTGTCCCAATAATTATCAATGGCCCCCAATTCAATATGCGCCAAAGCATGGAGCATAATGACGGGAATACTGGCTTGAGTCTGTAATTGTTTCATATGTGGCATCTCTTCTGGAGACAATAAATCTGGTTTCAAGCCTCGAGCTGGTACATTTGGGGGCATATGGGCACCCCATTGTGACTCACAATAAATGGGCAAAGTGTTGGAATTCCACCGATTTTGACACTCAAAAGTGAGCGCGACTTTCTCATATGGATCACTACAACGTAAGATACGGATGCCATAGGAAAGTAAAGAGTCTGGTGAGGTGATAGTAGACGTGGAAGATAACAAGACGGTCGGGAGGTGATGCCTTGGACGTAAATGAGTCGTGGCTACTCGTGTCCAACGCAGCATTTTGAATACTTTTGTGGACTTTTTGTGACGCATATTGGGGAGGAACAAGAACGTGACTGGTAATAACTAAATGCAATACCAAACTATTTAGTCTCGTGTTCCTTGTTCGGCATTCGGATTGGCTGATATTGTGTTAACTGATGCGTAATGGTGTATTTATGGCGAAGCGCTGCGTTAAGGATGTCTATATATCGGCAGTAAAGATACGATCGTTGTAGAATTCGCGCACAATGTCCGTCGGAATGACGGGTACATACTCTAGTGGTGGATATTAAATTGTAGTCATCATGACTTTTGCTTTGACGAATCCATACTGATTCTTTCCGTTTCATACAATTGTCGATTGCGCAAGTAATGAGGCATAGTTTAATGAGATTTAGGCAGCGCTAGTCTACTTTGTATCGTCACTCAATGGAGATTAGTGTCAATGGCAAAACCATGTCCGAGAAACTGGCCCCAAAGTATAACACGAGCTCAACAATGAGCATAGATTCAGCTACTTTCGGTCGTCAAGCAAGGCGCGATTAGGGTCCCATTCTAAATATACATACATTTGCTAAATATCGGTCTATAAGTCGAAAATACCGATGACTTACCGGGTCACGTACCGGTATCGAGATACTCCTATCAAACTCCAAATAATACGTTCTCGTACCAACTCAATGGCCAGCTCTACAAAGAAGCGCGTGTCATACTTCTATCATCGTACGGACCTCCTGGCGTCTCCCTGTGCTTCTTTTTCCATTCTTTCAGTCTTTTTACTTGTAGTTTGTTCCTTGTAGCCGAGGAAGGGCATTTTTACTATGGTCCGGGCCACCCAATGAAGCCACATCGCATGAAATTGACGCACCATTTAGTGGTTAATTACGATTTGTACCGCAAAATGGACATTTTTGTATGTGACAAGTGGGCACTGAAAACATACAAACCTCAAGTCATTTTTGGTTTATCTATCGAAATGTTTAATTGGCTCTACTCTGTTCTACCTTCACTCTACTTTTGTAGGAACCACACATTGCGTCGGCCGAGGAAATCAAGATCTTTCACGCGCCAGATTACATTGATTTTTTGCAGAAGATCAGCCCCAGCAATCAAAAAGACTTGTCCCCGGAGCTTCAGAAATGTAAGTGGATGGATAGAAAGAGTGCTGGCTATACAAGTTGCTAAACAAACTGTGTCGTGCTGGGGTCTGTTTTTAGTCAACTTGGGTGAATTGACGGACTGTCCAGTGTTCGACGGTATCTTTGACTTTTGCCAGATTTATTCCGGAGGCACGTTGGATGCTGTGAGTCGATTAAACCACGGACAATGTGACATTGCCATCAATTGGGCGGGAGGTCTGCACCATGCCAAAAAGTCGGAAGGATCGGGTTTTTGCTACGTGAACGACATTGTGTTGGGTATATTGGAGTTGCTCAAGTACCACCCGCGTGTGCTCTACATTGATATTGATGTGCATCATGGCGACGGTGTTGAGGAAGCTTTCTACGTGACGGACCGGGTGATGACAGTGTCGTTCCACAAGTACGGAGACTTTTTTCCTGGCACGGGCGACATCAAGGTTTGAGAGTGATCGCTGTTGTAGCGTTTTTTGTTATTGTTGCGCGTCAATGTTCACCATGGAATGACTGTCTACGACCAGGATATCGGTACCAAGAACGGCAAATACTACGCTGTTAACTTTCCGTTGCTAAGCGGCATGAACGATGAAAGTTATCAGAGCGTTTTTAAACCCGTGATTCAGAAGGTTATGGAGACGTTTGCTCCCTCGGCTGTAGTGTTGCAATGTGGTGCAGACTCGCTCACGGGAGACCGTCTCGGCTGTTTTAATGTCACTACACGAGGTACGCCCATCGATTTGAGGTACACGATAATTGCTTATGTTGTGCTGTGCATCTCTTGTGCTCGTTATCTGTTAGGGCACGGCGAATGCGTGAAGTTCGTGAAAAGCTTTGGTCTTCCTATGCTAGTGCTGGGAGGTGGTGGGTACACCATCCGTAATGTTTCGAGAGCATGGGCCTACGAGACGTCGATCCTGTTGGATGAAGAAGTGTCCAACAATATTCCGTACAACGACTATTTTGAGTTCTACGCCCCAAACTTTAAGCTGCATCTGGAGCCGGACCCGGACCTTGAAAATGCCAATTCGAGGGAGTACCTAGACGAGTGCAAGTACGTCAACATCTCTCTGATTTGAAGCTGCGTCACACAACTAATGTATGCATGTTTACTAGGAACAAAATCTTTGAGAATCTTCGAGCTTTGACTGGGGCGCCAAGCGTTCAGATGAGTCAAGCACCTCCGACGTACATGCTGCGAGAAGAAGATGAAGACGCAGCGGACCCAGACTCGCGTACGGATAACGACGGAAAACGGTGTCACGAGGCTGAATTTTATAGAGATGACAAGGATCAGCGAGGAAATGACGATGCTGATACTGGTAACAGCACTATAGCAGCAAACGGTCCTCATCAGGATGAAGGAGCGGACAACACGGCACCGGACGTCATTCCAATGGATGTGGACTAGCTCTTTGCGAGAGAATTTGTATGCATTTGTTTTTTCCGCTTTTATTCGATAATGACGAGGGACTGAAGATTCGCTTCAATCTCTCACTGGGGCCATGTATCGTTCTGCTTTTGTTTCTCTATTACGGTTGTTGTTGCTGGAGTTTGCGTTGCTTGTCACGCTCAGCTTTTTCGATTTCGAAGCGCTTGAGATCAAGCCGTTGCAAAAACTGCTGCTTCTCGATGTATCTAAAGGACCACGTACACGCATTTCCGTCAGTATAAACTCATGTCTCCCTCCCGAACAGCCGTAAATATCGTACCCGTCCTTCGTGTACTGCGTGAGTTCCTCTTCAATGCCTTCTTTCTCCTTGAACTTGTCCCAGTCAAGCGACGACTTTTCAATCGTCGACACCTTTTTCGGCTCAACCAGAGCATCCAGTACTTTATCCAAGCCTTTCTTCTTCTTCGCAGGTCTCGTAGCAGTCGCAGCAACACTGTACTTCTTTCCAGCAAACTTGATGACTCGATCCACCTTGAGTTTCGACGTTGCAACCTCGTCCATATCTTTTCTTGACCTCTCAACATCAACACTTAGTATTGGCATAATGAAGTCGTGTGCTTTGCGTTTGTTGTTGCCCTTCTTCATTCTTCGACTTGAATGTTTTGTCTTCGCGGTCAAACCGCCCAGTAGCTACAACCAGAGACATCATCAGTCTCTAAACAAACGAATATTGTCCATGGATAAATATCCACCATCACCTTTGCTGTCCTGTCCACTGCTGTCTTGGATACGGTAGTGGATGCATTCATATCACCCCAGAGTTTGTCCACACGGGGATCGGTCGTGACGCTTTTTGGCTGTTGGTCGGGCGTAACGTCGATGGTGTCGTTCATGTCGTCATCCTCTTCGTTGTCGCCTGTAGTTGGAATCAAATGTTAGCTAAATTCGGTAAAAGCAGCCAAGAGGGAGACCATGGACCTGCAGGGATGTAGTCACCATCGTCTTCGTCTGAGCAGCTACTCATGTTTGTATTGTGGTTAAAACCTTCGCTACCGGTATTACCTCATCACAACCGGTTTATATATGAACATTATAAAACACGCTTAAGGCATTTGCTGCTTGCTGTTAAAACAAATGGCTACACCGAGAAGAATCAGTAGCATGCCTGTGTATGTAGCTATGATCATGAGCCCAATATGGTCCAAAAATACGACACAAGTAGAAGCTGTATCAGTCAAAAAGGATGTACAATACAGCAAAGTGATTGGACTTTAGTACGTACAAGCAGGGCGTTGGAGCTTTTCTCCAAGCAGACGACTCGTTATAGCTGTAAAGACGAACGTCAGGGAGTTGCAAATCGGTACAGCATTCGAAATATCTGTCAGTAACAAGAATGTCAGTTGAAGTACTCAATAGTCGTAACGTCATCACGAGCTTTGCAGTCAAAAGCATCCTTACACCATTCACGTTGTGATCATGTCGTACCTGTTGAACTGAGGAGGTAAACATAGGCCACCGATCCACTCTGATTCATTATAAATGGCAGTACAAACTGCAGCACTCCACAACGTCATCACCAGTCTATAGTCAGACCTCGTCCATGCATCAAAGTCGTAGTACGCAAACGCTTTTCACCTGCCAGTTCTTCACCAGTCCAACAAGTTGATTAACATATTCCCCGATACTGTTGTCCTTTCGAGTGTACATGACGTCGTCATTGCTTCCTAATCCCCTCCCCCCAAAACCAATAACCCTTCAGCTTTCTAGCTCACACGCAGAACCATCAATAAAATAATTGCCATCACCTAATTTGATAAACGGATTCGTGCATCCCCAGAGAGCCCCCACGAAGACAAAGGACACGAGTGTTGACACTGCCGAGATCATCCAGTAAGATTGTTTTTATTTTCGTATGCCAAATGCAACCGGTGTATTACCGGTTTATACATGGTTCTGTTAAAAAAAGTGTCTACAACATCACTGAATCACCTAATCACACTCTCAAATATTATAATTTCGACGCAATTGGCCCAAAACAAAAAAATAGTCGTCACGTCTAAATTACAAAATGGTCCGACCGAAGCGTAAACGAGCGTCCTGTCACATTGGACGGGAATCCCGGTTAATGGATCCGTATTTACTCAAGATGTCGCCCTGTCAGTTTACTGACCATCACCGGAGACAGCGTGACAAGAGCACGGGCGTAGTGCGCAATTGTGTGGACAACCCCAACTGTCTCTACGGATTAGGAGAGTATCAAAAGGGCGTGTGGCAGGGAAAGCGGTTTATCCGGCGGGTCTTTGGCGAAGATCCACGAGATCGGCAACGGGAATTGGTCGCTCATGGGACCCCTAAACCTTGTGGATTACGTAATCTAGGAGCCACTTGTTACTTGAACAGCATGTTGCAGTGCTTGTTTGTTAATTTTGCATTTCGTCAGGCCGTGTACGAATGGGAACCAAAGGTGCACTTTCGAAACCAACAAGAGGCTCGACAGATGAAAGCACTACAGAAACTATTTGCTCAAATGCAAATGGGAAATGAAAGCTACTATGATCCTACAGAGTTTGCATCGACGTTGTTATTAAATAACGTCATGCAGCAAGATGCACAGGTGCATTTCAATTGATGACTTTTTGTTTTTATAGGCAGAATGAGTTGGGCAAAATACCATGTGCTCACAATGCTAATGTTTGTTTGCTATTGTGCTACAGGAATTCAGCAAGTTATTATTGGCACACTTACGCACGATATTTCGACAGTCGAGGTTTTCCAGTCATTGGGATTTGGTGGACAGGATCTTCCAGGGACAGATTAATTATGTAACCAAGTGCTTGAGATGCAAGAACAAATCGATGAGATCGTCTTCTTACTACGAGATCTCACTTAATATTAAGGGACACAAGAGTGTGGATGACTGCATCAAATCCTATCTAGCGGCTGAGGTACTGGAAGGAGAGAACAAGTACTTTTGCGAGCATTGTAATACCAAACAGTGTGCGGAGCGCTTTTTTGAGCTAGAGCCGCGAGCGCTGCCGGCAACTTTGATGGTACAACTTATGCGATTTGTTTACGATGTGAATGCTGGACGGAAGAAAAAGTTGACGGTGCGTGCGGGGTTTCATGCTGTAATTATCAATAAAGAGATTGTCTATAGGAAATCATACTTACTTGTTTACAAAACTTGTTTGCAGGATGTCATTGAGATAAATGAGACATTAAACATGACCGAGTTGCTGCGTCGCAGTGGTCACGCGGAGGCGTTTGACGAAGCTGACGATACTGTGTACCGGTTACAGGGCTACTTAAACCACCGTGGAAAGAGTGCGCATGTGGGACACTACACTGCTTCTGTAGCATTACCAAAACCACGGATGCCTGGTTGTGGAGATGATCCGGCATTGAGGTGGTTTGAATTTGACGATGCAATAGTGAGTGATATGGCCATGTCGGAGGCAACAACAGAGCGCATGTACGGCCAAATAATCCGCTCGCGCGATATATACATGCTTATGTACGTTCGAGATGATAAAGTGAGCGGTGGCACAACTGGCACCGATTCCAACTGCAACGTTGCTACAAAAAGGATCCCGCAGCCTTCAGAAATTTGTCTTAAAGAAGTGGAGGCACTCAATACGGCTTTTGATGCTGAGGTACGAGAGTACGTCAGTAAAGTGAATGGCGTGGAGACCCGTATCCAGGAACGACTTGACGCATATAAACACTTTTTCGAGAAAAACTGTCCGTATCCAGATTCGTCTGCCCCCTATTTCTACTGGGTGGACACAGAATGGTTGCGTCACTGGGTGACAGGTGAGGAAAATGATAGCTCGGCCAGTACGTCGTCACTTTTGTCAAGCATCACAGGGGTGGCGTCTGATACCAAATCATTGTCAAACGGAAAAGTGTCAAATGTGAATGCGGATGATAAATCGGGAGGCCGCAATGTGGACGATGATAACTACAGGATAGTTGATCTGACTGATGTGGATGATGTAAAAGCAAATGGACATGCGAATGATGTAAAAACAAATGGAAATGCAAATGAAAGTCGAGATTCTACAACTCAAAGTGAACGCGCAGGAGACGAAAAGATGAGTCGAGCACATTACGATGATGGTGACGCGCAAAGTATCGTTGGAATGCCGTCATCAGGCTCGCTTCTTCCGCTTACTTCAGGTGCAGATGCTGAAACTAAAACGTTTAGGGATATTGGGTTGCGTTATGACGAAATACCTTTTACGAAGCCAATGGATGTTGTACCTTTTAGCTGTGCGCACTCAAGTGATCTCGACATTGAGACGTATGATCTTAAGAAGGAGCTTAAACCTATTCTTTGTTTTGCGCCAGAAAATGCGAATAGGCTGAAGCGAGTATCTGCAAAGTTGTTTGCATACTTGAATGAGAACTGTGACGTTGACTCAAAGGATGGTATGCCGGCTCTAGGTAGTCGCGCGCAAATGAGAGTATTTGAAGCACCCACTTATCGCTGTACCGTCTGCGAAAAAGACTTTTGCAACAAACTCCTGAATGATGTCGAGCGCTTGAAAGAAGTTGATATGGAGCTTGGACTGCTGACCGGCACCCCCGCAAGTGTGGCAGCGGCGGTTGCTGCTGGTAATTGTTTTTTGATGAGCCGGGCATGGATCAAAACCTACAAATATTACCTTCAGGTATTGCATAAGGAGCTTTTACACGCAGCTGGTACAAGCAAGAGAGGAAGAAAATCACTTACTTGCATGAAGCTTAACAATTTTTTCGTAACTTTGAAAGATGAAAACTGTAATGGCAGTGACACCCCAAATGCACATTACGACGTACAGGAAGTGTGGCAAAAGCCTATCAACGAAGATATAACATGTCTCCACGGCAATCTTACGTTGGAAAAGCGAGCATATCGGCCCGTATCAGCTCAGACATGGTCGTACTTTAGCGCCAAATTTCCATATCGGGCCGAGTACGCTGAGTCGATAACAGACCCATGCCGCCGATGTCAGGGCGACGATATGGCTAGCAAGGTGTGCATCCAAATTGAGCGCAATGTGCGTAATGATGTTTTGTCAGATGCTGCTTTGGCGTCTTTGTATCGTCGGAAACCTAGGAATGACGCCATGCGACTTAATGATGTCTTCGAGTTGCCCGCTGCACAGCGCAGCAGTGGGTTAGAGAAGGCGTCTTCGTTGACTGTACCAGACGCAACGAGAGTTCCACGGCGAATGTTTTTGGTGTCTCGTCGCTGGTTAACGCAGTGGAGAGAGTATATTCGCAACGTGGAGGAAGATTCGCCGTTGTCTTTAACGATATCGTCTGCATTGTGTGCGCATCAAAAGTTGGTACTGCCTTCATCATTGTTGACATCGCAGAAGGGACGACTCATTGACGTAAGCTCATTAGAAGTGGAGTTTGTATCTCTAGACGAGATGAAGGCTCTCGCTGAACGTTATGGCGACCCAGAGACGCCATTTTATTACGGCCTTCTCGTTGCTAATAGCATGTCGAAGTCTGATGAAGAAGAGTCGCAAGTGGTTTGGCGAAAGTGCTCATTATCCTCTTTGAAGTTTGGAAACGAGCAAGTTGTTAACAGCCAAGGCTGCCCTGACAATATCGTGCCCTTGATTTGTCAGGATGCAAACAACGAGAGCGTCATCTGCGCAGAATGTCAGGCGAGTTCAGACCGAAGATACCGTGATGAGCTCGAGAATTTTTCGAATCGCGTAGTTAATATCCAGCAGCTGAACGACGATCAAGTTATTCCAACAAGTGATTACATGACGTCAGATGCGAACACTTCAGGTCGACGACGCTCTCGACGAAGTCGCCCAGGTTCAGCAAGCACGTGGCCAATTGCAGCTCATGCCACAGATACGGTGTACATGTTGAAAGCAAAGATCTATGCAGCAATTGATGCACTACCTATACGACAACGCCTGTACTACAAGGGCGAGGTACTGGAGGATTACCGGACGCTCAAACAATGCGGGTACGTTGCATGCAACACGTTTCAAAAGTGTTGCAACTGACTTTGTTTTTGTCATTTTGTGTCATTAGGATCAAAGCGGGAGACGCCGTTTTCTTGCGGTTATCGGAAGATAATGCCGACGACCTTGTGATGGACGAAAGTTTGGAACGGGAGGTCGGTTTTGTGGACTCGGTCTTTCACTCGCATCCTTTGGTCAGCAGGTCTGCCATGACATTAAATGTACTTCCAGATACCAGTCGAGATCAAGCTCTTGCTATGGCTATAGCAAGCAGTCATGAAAGTCAAGTGTGGGTGTGTCCTGTTTGCACGTTTGTCAATGAGGACACCAAGTGCGAGATGTGCTCGACGACAAAAGATGATACTATCCCTTGTTGAAAATTGACAATTGGAAAACGTCCAATATTTGTTTTGTGACATTGTCTATACCTATCGTGTGGGCCACACTAAATTAGTTTTGAACTTTTTAACGACTGGCCCAGCGCATTTTGGACATTCTTGACCAAAATCAAATATGATGACGATACATCGGAACGACGATGAGCTCGAAATGAACTGGACGGCAATGGCCGTTGATGTCTCGGATAAAGAGACTGCCTTTTCTGCCAACAGCGAGGATGATTTCGAGGAGGAAGTTGAATTAGAATTGGCCTCTGGAGTCAAACGCAGTCGTGAGACGGATGTCAAAATGGACACTGAGGATGACAATTTTGTCAAAAAAGAAAAGATTGTGCGTTTTATGAAATTGACACTATTTTCTTGTTAGAATTGATATTGATAATGGTATATGTTGTTGCAGGTAAAGGGTCCAGTTTCCAATGGCAAGGGACTGCATCGGATGAAAGTGTCGGAGCATTTCAAAATTGTAAACGACATGTACATGAAGCATCGAGGTGGACTAATGACGTCACTGGAGTTAGCAGACGGACTAAATGGTGAGAAATTATGGTCGTGATATGTGCTGAAATGATAGTGCAGTCACTGATAGAGATTTTGTGGTTGTCTAGAATCGCATTTTTTGGTACCGGCAGGTTTAGGCAAACACAAACTTGAGCTGCTGCCATCGTACATTCACCATTTGCTTCCTACGTACAAGAGAGATTTTTTGGGCAAGGGTATGCGTCGCGATAAAAGTCCGGTCTTCCTTATCCTTTGTTCATCTGCGCTACGCTGTGTCGAGCTAATCAAGTAAGTAGTTGAGGAGAAAAAGGTCTGCTGTTGGTGATTAACACATGTTTTTCTTCTTCTACTTGTCGTTCAGACACTTGACGTCATTCAAGTGTCGTGTCGCAAAACTCTTTGGCAAGCATCTAAAGGCAGACAAACAAGCGAAACAGCTCACAGATAACTATTTTCCGATCGCTGTGGGCACACCTGCTCGTGTCAAAAAGCTGATGGAGATGGGGGCATTATCGATGAAGTTTACAAAACGTTTGATCTTCGACATGGAAAAGGACAAGAAACAGCTTACTCTTTTGGACTTGAAAGACACAGCCACTGAGATGATGGACCTCCTTCAGTTTCAATTTCTTCCACAGCTTAACAAGGAAGACAGTGACATGAAGATCGTGTTATTCTAATTGTATACTACCGCGGTAGCTAGACATTTAATCTGATGAACAATGCTTTGTTCACCATCAGCGGGACCTGTATCGAGTAATCTGTCGTCAAAAATCCGTCATACCTGAAGCTTCGAAATTTTTGAGTCCCCACCGGGTGTAAGAGTCAAGATGTCTTCATGATATTGGAGTAGGTCCGACCTGGTATGGCACAAGGCTCTTCAGAGATTTTTCGCGGTGCTATTTGACGATCATCCAGTCTTCATGCTTCGATGCAATCCACTCGCTGATTTCAGCTTTGATTCTCGGTTATGAAGCTGTCGTAGTAGTGTTAATTGTGTGCAGACTATATGTGATACGTGCCACGGAGCTATGTGAAGAATCTCCGACGAGATTGAACCCATGAATGGTTTGTCATTTCAACGGCAGTATTACGGTCTAGAAGAGCATGTAGTCTCCAGTTCTCCTTCAAGGTGAATTGCATACGCGTCGTGAACATCCCGATAGAGCCCAAAATGTTTCTCAATGGTCAAAACTTGACTGTCATACTGTCCAAAAGAAAATCACATCGTCATCACATCAACACTATAACACAAATGCCGACCCAAAAAGGTTTATTTTTCCATTTACTTTGTCGCACGCGACAAATGACGTTCGCTTACATCCTAGTACTACTCCAAAAAAAAGAACTGGATTAAAACCTAGCGTCGGAAGAGTCCTCCTCCTAGTTGTTTTTGTCATCGTCATCGTCGTCGTCGTCGTCCGGGTCGTCGTCGTCGTCGTCCGGGTCGTCGTCGTCGTCGTCCGGGTCGTCGCCATAGCCTTTTTCTAGTTTTTTCGCACACTTTGTATCAACCCACAGGCCACCTAAAGCATCAATCTCATCACCTGCTCTTCCATGGAAACCAATCAAATAAATCCCGTCACCAGGAAATTCTTCATTAGTGTCTTTGTCTTTACGGTGAGCGTCTTTTATACCGGCGGTAACTGATGGTCCCTCATTGAATGTAAACTCCACATAGAAGACTCTTGTGCGATCGTTATGCTTAGCCCTGTGGACTGTCATCCCAATGATTTTCCGGCCACCAAAGTCATGTGAATGCAGTTCTCCACCAGAACCGCCATGAAGTGGCATTTCAGTGTTGCCGATCTTGATACCAATAGCATCAAGTCGTTTTGATGCACGAACAATGATGCCAGTGGTATTTGTAGTGTGATCCACCTTATCTTCAAAAAGGTCACCATGGTCACCACCAAAGAAGTTGGTTCTTCTTACACATTCAGGATCGTGAGGGCTGCCAGAGACTAGCGCTAGCGCTGCAAAGACTTGGAAAAACAATCGCACCATCGCACCGGTTGCCTGACTATTGTTCTGACGAGATACTTGTGTTGTTGAGCGCGAATTGGAGAATGAGGTACTCAAATGAAGACCAGGTCCCGGGAGTTTATCGACCTTGCAAAATATATATCCAGCCTCTTGCACCTTTACCTTACCATCTCATGATTATCTTATGCTGGGGCCTAAGAGCATAAAATGATATGGATCCTAACGTCTTTCCGCTCGTACAGAGCAGTGTTAGAATTCCCGAACGAAGAGAAGAAATCAAATCCCAATTTTTATCTATGCGCATCTTCTGCACTGTAACCTATATATGTACAAAAGAACTTGTCTAACATGATACTACCTTACTAAATAACCTGTCTAAGCTGGGGGGCTTAAAAATAAAAAACCTACAGAAGAACTTTCGAGATTGCTTCTTTTCAAGCATGAATTATTTGGATAGAAATATTTGTAGGTTTTTCTATAAGAGCTAATATATTTTACATTGACTTTCTCGTTCACAGTTACCCCTCTGTAAGTGATTAAACAATAATGACTTTCGGGAGGGCGTTACCCTAACCTGACCAGGATATGCTTTTTATCACAACCACAAAAAGATGATGAAATGGTGCTGATTAGTTTTTCTGTGGGTGAAAATTCAAGAAATATTAGAGTTTCACATTGAGGCGTACTCTATACAGTCGAACCTGGCCAAACGGATACGTTCTGAGCTACAAGGTTATATCAGCTAACAAAGGCTATCAGCTAAACGAGCTCTATATTTACTATATGGACGCTCTCGAAACTAAACTTATTAGCAGCTTAGACAGGTTATTTAGTAAGGTAGTATCATGTTAGACAAGTTCTTTTGTACATATATAGGTTACAGTGCAGAAGATGCGCATAGATAAAAATTGGGATTTGATTTCTTCTCTTCGTTCGGGAATTCTAACACTGCTCTGTACGAGCGGAAAGACGTTAGGGTTCAATCATTTTATGCTCTTAGGCCCCAGCATAAGATAATCATCTCCGACTATACTAAGAACAGTATAGTCTACCTACAGTGATGACAGTGTAAGCAGTTTTTTCGATATCTCTTACACAAAGAGACAGAGAAGCTAAACAACGACACAAACGCTTAGTTGTAGCGATATATAAGAACTGTTTTAATATAGTATAAGTATCTTACAAAACTGATCTTATATAACTTTACTTTAACCATGTTAAACTACAAATATGTATGTTGCCTTTATGACCTCCATTCATTGCGCGCGTCCATCGGTCATTGGCAGGCCACTTATATATTGGAGTTTGCCACATCTGCTAGTGGTGTCGTCCACTCTAAACAGTGTTGGTCACATCAGCAGGTGAGTTTTCGTCCTAAACAGACATGAGCTAGCATGATGCTTGCTCAGGCCTTTAACGGATGCTTTTGCGGCATACGTCGGTTTGGACGGGTCTCCTCTCCCTCTACACACCTCTGACTTGCCGCTCTTACCCCCAGCCCGCCAGCCAAGTCCACAGTTTCAAAGTCCAGGCATCTCCGCTTAGGTATGATCACGTAATTCTTTTTTTTCCTGGTGCAAGCAACAAGAGACCCATTCTGGGGAGGACCTGTTGAATATATCGACATATAAGACATATAAGGAATCCAAGCATAAAACTTACCGCTGGACACCGCCGTCGATTGGCCCCAGACCTGCACCTCCTTCGCCTGTGTGCACAGGATCGTGCAGCCTGGATGGCTTTCAGCGCGCCGCTTACTGGACCCTGGCGAGAGTAGAAAGAATTGTAGAGAATGAGAGATAATCCGACGCATGCGGAAGTTGAGTTGCTTTGGTGGCAAGACGGCTCGCGTAACGCGTTTACATACATACATACATACATACATACATACATACATACATACATACATACATACATACATACATACATACATACATACATACATACATACATACATACATACATACATACATACATACATACATACATACATACATATATGCATACATACATACATACATACATACATACATACATACATTGAGTTCTAATAAGAATATTATTAGAACTAATAACACTCGACAATATTATCTTTTCTTGTTAGATTGTCCTTAAAGTTTAAGGTGCCTTCTAATTGGCTGATATAGGCCATTATACCAACCAACGCGCTGACCAATTGACCAGACCACTCTAATAGTGAATTTCTCCAACTATGAAGCTAGTGGAGACATAGTTTGGGTAAATGATAATTTCAAAGAGTCCGAAACGCACTCTACATAGTGGCGCCATACAAAAATTAAATGTGGCTAAAAGTGGCGTTTGGGGGTCAAACTCCAATATATAAGTGGCCTGCCAATGACCGATGGACGCGCGCAATGAATGGAGGTCATAAAGGCAACATACATATTTGTAGTTTAACATGGTTAAAGTAAAGTTATATAAGATCGGTTTTGTAAGATACTTATACTATATTAAAACAGTTCTTATATATCGCTACAACTAAGCGTTTGTGTCGTTGTTTAGCTTCTCTGTCTCTTTGTGTAAGAGATATCGAAAAAACTGCTTACACTGTCATCACTGTAGGTAGACTATACTGTTCTTAGTATAGTCGGAGATGATTATCTTATGCTGGGGCCTAAGAGCATAAAATGATTGAACCCTAACGTCTTTCCGCTCGTACAGAGCAGTGTTAGAATTCCCGAACGAAGAGAAGAAATCAAATCCCAATTTTTATCTATGCGCATCTTCTGCACTGTAACCTATATATGTACAAAAGAACTTGTCTAACATGATACTACCTTACTAAATAACCTGTCTAAGCTGCTAATAAGTTTAGTTTCGAGAGCGTCCATATAGTAAATATAGAGCTCGTTTAGCTGATAGCCTTTGTTAGCTGATATAACCTTGTAGCTCAGAACGTATCCGTTTGGCCAGGTTCGACTGTATAGAGTACGCCTCAATGTGAAACTCTAATATTTCTTGAATTTTCACCCACAGAAAAACTAATCAGCACCATCTCATCATCTTTTTGTGGTTGTGATAAAAAGCATATCCTGGTCAGGTTAGGGTAACGCCCTCCCGAAAGTCATTATTGTTTAATCACTTACAGAGGGGTAACTGTGAACGAGAAAGTCAATGTAAAATATATTAGCTCTTATAGAAAAACCTACAAATATTTCTATCCAAATAATTCATGCTTGAAAAGAAGCAATCTCGAAAGTTCTTCTGTAGGTTTTTTATTTTTAAGCCCCCCCCCACATCTGCTAGTGGTGTCGTCCACTCTAAACAGTGTTGGTCACATCAGCAGGTGAGTTTTCGTCCTAAACAGACATGAGCTAGCATGATGCTTGCTCAGGCCTTTAACGGATGCTTGCGGCATACGTCGGTTTGGACGGGTCTCCTCTCCCTCTACACACCTCTGACTTGCCGCTCTTACCCCCAGCCCGCCAGCCAAGTCCACAGTTTCAAAGTCCAGGCATCTCCGCTTAGGTATGATCACGTAATTCTTTTTTTTCCTGGTGCAAGCAACAAGAGACCCATTCTGGGGAGGACCTGTTGAATATATCGACATATAAGACATATAAGGAATCCAAGCATAAAACCTACCGCTGGACACCGCCGTCGATTGGCCCCAGACCTGTAAAGATCTTGGATAGGTTGGAAGTGCTTGATTGTTTTAATGCAAAACGCAAAGTGATTCATTTGGTCCTTAGTTCGCTTACGCTACTCTAAGCCTAATGTTTACCCTCTGGATACACTCTACTTGATCCAAACTTCAACTGCATCCAATCACCGAACTTCAACTGCATCCAATCACTGGAATGACGATAGTATCGCAGCTGGTCGAGGAGTCATATTGACAACACTCCCACTCGACTCGACAGCCGATGATGCCATAATGCCAAGTTTGCTTCGGAGCGTACTGAACTGTGGGCCGGGAATTGGCTTCGTCATGAGGTCGGCCAGCATGTCAAGTGTTGACACATACTGTAGCACAACTTGGCCATCTTCCACCTTCTCGCGTACGAAGTGGTATCGTATGTCGATGTGCTTGGTGCGCTTGTGAAACTCGGGATTCTTGGCCAACGCTATCGAACCTTGATTGTCCTCGTAGATCTTGACCGCTTCGTCCTTTGCCATTTCTCCAAGCTCGCATAGGAAGGCCTTCAACCAAACTGCCTCTTGAGTAGCTTCCGATAGTGCCATGTACTCAGCTTCCGTTGAAGACAGCGCCACCGTTTTTTGTTTCTTGCTTCTCCAACTGATACACCCGCCGTTCATCATGAACGCGTAGCCACTTGTACTTCGGCGCGACTCAGTGTCGCCTGCCCAGTCTGCATCCGAATAGCCTGTAAGAGCATCGCCCTCCGCCGTGAACTCGATGCCGTAGGTCTTCGTGCCTTGAATGTACCGAAATACCCGCTTTAGCGCTTGCCAATGTGTAGGACATGGATCTGCTGCAAATTGGCTGAGGACTCCCACTGCAGCGGCAAGGTCGGGACGCGTGCCAACCATAAGGTACATGAGGCAACCAACAGCACTTCGGTAGGGCACATTTGCCATTGTGTCGCTGTGATTGCACCCATCCTCGCACATGGACTTCGCCAATTTGAGTCCTGGATCTTGTGGTGTCTTGACTGGATTGCTGTTGTCCATGCCAAACTTAGTCAAAACGTCCTTGGCAAACTTGGTCTGACGCATCGATACCTTTCCACGTTCTTGATCGATTTCCATGCCAAGAAAGAAGTTGAGCTTACCCAAGTTGGTCATCTCAAATCGATCACTCAAGGCGTCCTTTACTGTATTGAGCATCTTGTCACTGCTGCTTGCAAGTACCAAGTCGTCCACATAGAGTGCGACGAAGATTATGGCTTCACCGTCGCGTTTCGTGTAGATGCAGTGGTCCGATTCACATTTCTTCAAACCAAGCTTCAGCATGAACTCGTCAATGGTCTTGTTCCACATGCGCGGCGATTGCTTCAGTCCGTACAGCGATCGATTGAGCTTGCACACGAGGTTGG